CTTGTAACCTGACCTGGGCTACATGTGTCTCAGATGCAAATATGAACTAATTTCTAGTGCACTGGAGAGTAGATAAATGGGCAAACAAATGTGGCATGCTGTTTCAGGAGACATGTTCCAGGATGCAAATGACAGATGACTAAGGCAGGAAAAGCTAACATGAAGCAACCAAAGGAAGCTTGCTGGGTGAGTGGCTTAGTAAATATGCATGGGAGGGAAGAAGGCTTCAGGGAAGGGTCATTAAATGGTCAGTATTTATAAAGATGGCACTTACTATATCACATCGAGCTTGTAAACATATAGCCACCAACAACCATTGCCCAGAGCTCCAGGATCAAGGTGTTGCCAATGGATGGTGGTCTTAAAGGTTGGAGCTGAGGCCCCACCCTCTTTGAATCAAGGCCAGTGGAGACCCACGGAGGAAAAAGATGCATCCAGGACACCGAGGTGCTCAGGGGCAGATCTCCCAGCCCTCCGAGGAAGTGGTTCTCAACCTGATGCTCATGGGAACCACTCCGGTGGCTTTTAAAACCATCAATGCCATGGGCCTCTCTGTCTTCTGATTTCATTGGCCCAGGGGGGCCTGAAGATCCACTGTATTTCCAATTTCCCGAGTGGCTCCCATGGGCAGTCAGGATGACCTAATCCAAGTTATGGGAGAGGAACTCGGCCTGGGTTCATCTGACCAGGTTCTGGGCCTTCCCCTGCGGTCATTTGCTGTGAGACCACAAGCAAAGTACCTGGCAAGTAACTGCTTGCATTTCGTAGTGCCTTACTATTTAAAAAACATTTGTCTGCACATGATTCAGTCTCTCAAACCCTTGATCTCCTGATTAATCAAATGGAAATAATAACTGTTCTGTAAGTTTTTTAATGAGATTCAAACAAGGAAGGATAAAGAAAGCACATTGTAAACTATTAAAATGCTATACAAAAGGTAAGGAATGAAGATAATTTACTGTCCCCTGTGATTCCCATCATTATTCTGGGAAGACCTGCTGTTTCAAAGAAAGTAAATAAATTCCCACAAAGAAGACCCTTACAAAAGATCCCCAAGCACCAACTCTCCCTAGAGCAGCTTGGTCTCAGATCTCCCTAAGCTTTCTGGGATTAGGGCATTTGGTATAACAATGGTTACCAAGAATCACTGGCACCCATGGGTGGAGAGCATCAGGAAATGCCCACAGGAGGCCCTGCCCATCTCGAGACTGGCTACGACCACCCTGGGCCTCAGGTACCACACTCCATAAGCCACAACAATTATTTCGCAACCACAGAGAGGATGCTGTTTAAGAAACTCAGGCCCTTGATTAAAATCATTCACCAATGTTACTTCCTTCCTTGCAATTTATGGGCCCCATAAAAAAAGAACTTGAGAAGACAGAGAGGTTGTTTCTGTTGCGCCTCATTAGTTTGGAGTTTGGGCCGGTAGTAGAGATCAGAGTACCAGGCATGCATCTAATTGAATCTCTCACAAGCACAAATTCCCTGTGTACGAAGGAAACGATGCCAGGGAGCCTAGCCACCTCCAGCCAGGGGAAGGAGATGGGACGGAGGTGGTAGAAGAGCCGAAGGAGACAGCTTCTCTGGGCTACGGTTCTGTGCTACGGCTATGCTTTATCTGAGAAAAGAGAGATTTGGGGGACAAACTCTGGGACATCCAGAGAGTAAAGCAGCGCTACCTTACTGCTACCAGACCCCTCGTTTGTCAAGGTTTGGGGTGAAGAGCAGGGATGCGAACTTCCTCCCCTGGCGTACTCACCGCTTCCAAGGACCTGCATGACCTGAGGTAGGCCGACCTCACAGACAGACACAGTACAAAGGGTGGAGAACAAGATGTCAAAATGCGGGTTTTCACCAATCCCTCAGCAAGCCACGTAACCACGCTAAGCCTTTGTATTCTCAACTATAAAACAGGTATAATAAAACTTTCCACATGTAATACATAGGATCAGTTCAATTCCAAAATATTGGGGTGGGGAGATCTCCATACATGGTACTGTTACAGACTCAGGAGGATAAGACTGGCTCCTGACTGCCCTTCCAGCCACGTACAGTTTGGCGAGGAAAACAGGCATAGAAACAGTGAGTTACAACATGAGGCAGAAGGTCCGCCGTGTTAAATGCAAGAAGTAATGAGCGACAGAAGTCCAAGCAAAAGGGGGAGAATGGGAGAGCCCACGGAAACGTCACTGATGAGGTGGTAAGGTCTAAGTCCCCATTACCAAGAGATGAGATGATGGTGGGAGGTGTTCCCAAGCGAGAGGGCAACCCAAAGACCAGAGAGGGTGACCCCCACATAACCAATCCCACATGGAACAAGCTCTCTAAACGTAAAAGAAAAAAAGGAGCAATCACCAAGGAAAATGTGGATATGTTTAGATTATGTACAAACTTAAAAATTCTATATATAAAGATACATTATAAACAGAATGAAAATACATATAAAATACGGGAAGAAATTGTCAAATATATAATAAGCAGTGTCACATCCTTATTCCTAATCTCATACAATTCTATACGAAAACACGAAGAACCTAATAGATAAATTGGCAGATGGAAGTGGACAATGTAAAAATAAAATAAAGCTAGCAACATGTGAAAAATATATTTAGCCTAACTACCAAAGGAATACAAAATAAAACAGCAGGTAAATACCTTTAGTTAAAAATGAAAATCATGATAATATTCAGGGTTGGCCAGGATTCAGTGAGAGGGGCATGCATGTCCGAACACAGCTGGTGAGAGTGTAAATTGGATTAACTTCTAGAAAACAATTTGGCAGAATCTATTAAGGGCATTTAAAATGTTTACACCCTTTGATTCAGTAATTCCACTTCTGGGAATCTTTCCTTTGAAAAATAATCTGAAATGCAAGCAAAGGTTTATGTTCACAGATATTCTTGAAAGACTTACCATAAACAACCTACCAATACAGTCATTGAATAATGTTTAAATAAATAATGGTACGTATCACAAAGTATTGTAGCTATTAAAAGGTATTCTTCTGTGGAATTTTTAAATCCTTGGAAAAGCTTGTAGTATTATTTAATTATTTTAAGGCATAAATACACATGGTACAACTATACATTCTTTGAAAGAATAGGCAAAAAAAAAAAAGTCAGCATTATTAAAAATGGTCTCTGGATAGTGAGATTCTAGGCATTGCTTTTGTTTATTTTTCCCCTAGTTTCACACTTTAGACACTTGGTGTATGTTTTTAAAATGAAGGAAAGTAAAAGAAGCTATAGGACGTATTCAGGGAAGGACAAGTCACTGATAAATGAAACATGCATGTGTTCATGAAAACACACAACGAGAAACAAGGCCTGATCATAAGGTGTGAACAAACCGCAGCACTGCCTGCGTGGGTGCCCTTGGTTGAGGAAGGCTTTACAGGTTATTTATTTACCTATTTTGCTTATATTTTCTTCTTTAGGGCTGGGAGCAAATATTTTGAAAACTAAAAGCCCCAAAGCTCATGTGTAGAATTTTTCTTCTTATTCTAAATACCTTTACCTGGCATGAGGGGCAGAGAGGACAGGCAGTGTTGCCGGGCAGGCAGGACCCACCAGCCTGGGGTAGACCCACTGGTCTGGTGCTCACTACGGCCCCCAACAGGAGGCCACCTGCCTGCAACTGCCCTCACCCTCGCTTAATTGGCACCTTCTCCCTGGTAAGTAGATAAAAATCAGAGTTGCCCTAGTGGTTCTAGTTTAGTGAGCAGGCAGGTAAAGTGCTGGCACCGTGCGGGGCAGGTAGCAGGTACCCTGTATATGATGCCAGGTTCCCTTGTTGGGAGCTTGATTTCTGCAGCAAAGCCACAGCCACTCTCAGAATAGCCCCCGCAGTCTGCCCTTTAGAGAGGATGCCCCTCTGCATGGGGAAGGCTGTACCTTCCAGGGACCAAGACCAGTTTCTTAGAAGCATTTCATTTCCTAGCTTCCAGGGGAATGTGATTGACAAGTAGTGCATTTCCCTGCACTTGGCATTGGGGGGATTTGGAGAAAACATTGGCTTAGGCTGTCTTGAGGCACAGGGACCGATAGGGGTGGCATTTCTCCTTCTGCAGGAGGAAGAAAGGGGCAGAGGTGACCAGTCTAGGGAACCACAGAGATCTAGTCACAAAACTAGTTAAGGAGCTGAGAAGTTGATATAAAGCTTTGCAGAGGCTCCCCCACCACACACCAACCAAGAGCAGGGGACAGAAGGTGCCATCAGAAGCAACAGCCAGACCCTGGCTAGGTGGTCCCAGGCAAAGCACCCATTCGGTAGGGCACACGGGGCCAGGCCAGCCTTCTCCTACGCCTGGTTCTCTGGGGTCACAGGTTAATTAATTATCATAATGCATTGTTCTTGATACAGAAACAAGTAACTGCTAACATGTTCATTAAAAGCTGCCCCCTCTCCCTTCCTCCACTGTCTATTATGATTTCTCTGGAATTTAAGAACTGGAATAGGCCTTAGAAATATGGCCAAACCCCTCCTTTTGTAAATGGAGAGGCGGGGGCTGACAGAGGAGGGGCGCAGTCAGTGCCCCGGGCAGCCCGGGAGGAGCCGGTCTGAGGCCTGGGCCCTCGCAACACTGGTCTTCATGTTCCACAGCCCAGAGGACAGCATGTCACTGAATCACTCCAGTGGTGGGGTCTAGGGTCAAGAACATGGGGGGCATACACTGGACCAGATATTCCCCTTAATATCCCAAATTTGACCTTAAAGATGAGGCGCCACCTGCAAGCTACCTGGCACCTGGGGTTTAAGGACCCCAGATTGTTGGGGGTACGTGGACCAAACCTCAACTGCTCTACTGTTCCCCATCACTAGAAAATGAGGTCCCCAGGGGCTGTGGGGTGTTAGGGCTTTCACTTCCTCTTGGCCTCCTGGTGTCAGGCCATGGGCATGGACATAACGAGAGGCCAATGTCTCAGTCAGTCCCTTGGGATGTAAATGGCAGGGCCACCCGAACTGACCAGGGGTGTGTGTCTCTATGTGCTCTCCAGGAACATCCCCGGGCTCCAAGATGGCCTTGCAGAGTTCCTTCACTTGCTGGAATGGGACAGTCCTCCAGCTCGGGCAGGCCTGCGACTTCCACCGGGACTGCGCCCAGGGAGAAGACGAGGGCCAGCTGTGCAGTGAGTAGATGCGGCGGCCCCACCCACCCCACCCCAGACCACGCGCATAGCCCTCTTCTGCCCCCATGACCCCCTGCACTCAAACTTGGACAACTTCCTTACATCCAGTGCGGTTTATGTCTCTTCTCAGTGGCAACTTTCAAAAACTACACAGTCTTCAAGAGGCAGCTATGATCTGTGGTCCAGAAACAGCATAAAAGTTAGGAACCAAACAAGGTCTTATAAGCTATGCTTTCAACTTCCTTATGCCCAGAAAAAAAGAAAAGTTCAGGACAAAGCACAGCTCTGTAACATGACATTAGAAGCCTTCCAGGCCCGGACTTCCCTCACTTTTTAATCTTTGTCTTTGTCTCCCACCTGCCTCTCTCTACCCCCCAATCTTCCGTGTACCCCAGCTCCAGCCATATCAGACCGCCTCAGCCCCCGCACACCTCCGTGGCTTTGTTTGTGTCATATCCCTTGCCCAGAATGCCCTGTCCCTTCTCAAGTCACATCTGTTCCTTCAAGACTCACCTCAACAGGCGATTCTTCTGGGAAACTCCCCTGACCATCCCCAACAAGTTACAGTTGGTTCTTCTTCCTCTGGACCTTCTATACTTCTATCCACCATAACATCCATCATTTTTTACAGCTTTTTTTGAGAGGTAGTTCATATACCATCTAATTCACCCACTTTTGAAGCAGAGTCAAGGGGTGGTACAACCATCACTGCAATCTAGTTTCCGCACATTTTTATCACTCTGCAAGGAAACCCCTAGAAATATTCCCCCACTTTCCTCCAACTACGCCTCCTCCCCTAGTCCTAAAGCAACCACTAATCTACCTCCTCTTTCTAGAGATTCGCCTGTTTTGGGCATTTCATATAAATGGAATCCTACAATATGTGGTCTTTTGTGATTAACTTCATTCATGGAGCATATTTTCAAGGGCCACCCATGTCTTAGCTTGTATCAGGCCTCCATGTATCTTTATTGCCAAATAATATTTCATTGTGGAGATATACTACATTCTGTTTATCCTTTCATCAGTTGATGGGCATTTGGGTTGTTTCTCTTTTGGGGCTATTACGAATAATGTTCGCTGTGAACATTTGTGTGCGGGTTTTTGTGTGGGTAGATGTTTTTATTTCTCTTGGGTATATACTGAGGAGTAGAATTGCTGGGTCATATAATAACTATACTTAACAGTTTGAGGAACTGCCAAGCTGTTTTCCACACTGGCTGCACCATCTTACACCCCCGCCACTAACGTATAATGGTTCTAATTTGTCCATATCCTCACCAGCATTTATTATCATCTGCCTTTCTATTTTAGCCACCTTAGAAGGTGTACATCCATTACTTTTCAGAAGGGTGGTTTCCATGTTTCCCTCCCACTCTGTAAGCACATTGGGTCTGGTACTGTTCCCTGTACTGAAACCTCAAGTGATTTCCAGCACAACTAACTCTTGTTGATTAAAATGAATAAATAAGTTGAGGAAGTTGGGCTCCATAAAAGAGAGCAAATTGCTGAGGTCTCACTGTTAGTTAGCAGCAGAGTTAGACTCCCAGCCCAGTGCTCATTCCATTTCAATAGTGCCCTCAGTAGTTACTTGGCTATGAGTAAAACTCTATAGGTTTTTTCCATTTCTTCCAGGGAAACCACAAACACAGAACACATGAAATTTGAGATAGAAAATATGTTAGGTCCTGAAGCAGAGATGAATACCACAGCACCTTCCCTGAGAGCACTGAAAATCCAGCACAGGGGCAGGAAGGGAAACAAAGGAACCGTGCTGTGGGCCCAGGCTCAGCAGCACCGGCCTCACCCCCGAGGAACCAGCCCCCAGATGCCGGCCTGCAAAATAGCTTTAGAACGTTAACAGTGTTTCCCAGGTCACCTGGAGGACAGACTGTCCCTTGGGGGGAAATGGTTTTATTTATTCTCCTTTAAATGAAGCAATAAAGAAATCCATTTTTTCAACTAGAAAAACAACATCTTTATGCAAAATTTCTGGTGAAGTTTTCCAGTAATCGTGAAATCGTGGTTGTTTTGAGAAAACTCAGTAAAGAGTTGCAGGTAGGCACTTTGTCCCACAAGATTTGGCCCCTGGCCTTCCGCGCAGAGCTCGCACTGTGCACAGACAGAGCAAGGCCGGCCCCTGTGCTGCCCCGAGCGGAGACCTAGGTGTGCCCCTCCAATCACAGGCCTCTGCAGTATTTCCAGCAGTGCCTCTGAGCCATGTGATTTTGCTTCTGCCTTTTTTCAGTTGCCTGATATCCACTTCCCAGTAGGGACACAGATCAGGCAGGGCATGCCCTGATTTACAACTGGGAAAATGGAAAGCACAGAGAAGGTAATTGGTTTGTTCCGGTAGCACAGCAGGTCAGGAACAGAGCCTTGATTAGAGCATCGAGCCTGCGGGGTCCAGCCCATTACTGTGTGCTCAGGGCATTTCGCCCCCGTTCTGGGACTTGCCATCATCTCCGTTCCGGGACCCACTCCAAGCTTGAGGGCAGCCTGGCCGTGGTCCGGAGGGCGGGCACCTGGGGCCCAGTGGCCTTTGCAGCCACACTTGAACAGCTGCTCAGACCAGCTGTCAGAATGACAGCTCCACACCGGAGGATACCCCCGCCAAGTTCTTGGCCACAGAACTCAGTTGCTAGGAAGAGAAGTTCAGTTTTAAAGGAGGGTTTCTCGATCTTTTTGCCACTCTGATCTGGGCAGTACACTTAGTAAACCCTTTTTCTTATTTGTGCGCCCCATTCTCTCTGGGATATTTGCTGTTTTTCCTATCACACTGACTGACATTGATTCTGGAAACCATTCCCAGGAAGACAGCAACAACAACAACAACAACAATAATACTGGCTGGCATCCCTGTGTCCTGGGAGCTGCTCCAAACACTTTTCATGTATTAACTTAATTCATCCTCACAACAACTCTTTGTGATGCTGTTAAACCCATAGTGATGAGGAACCTGAAGTCTATGGTCAAACTGTTAGCCAGTGGCTGAGCAGTGATTCAGACTCAGTCTGACTCCAAAGCCCACACTCTGAACCACTACAAGCCAGACTTTTTTGTTCTGTGAGTTTCCCACAGTTGGCTGTGAAAAACACAACCGTGGCTACATATCCACCCAGGAAGATGGGACCAGGAAAAAAGTCAGGGAAGGTACAGGGCTCTGCCACCACCTTCCTGGGAAAGGGGTGGGGGGTAGGATCATTCATCCCCACCCCTGGACCTCAGTTTCCTCACCTGTCATATGAGTTGGAACAGGATGCCCACCAATGTGTTGATGTTCATAATGCATTCAGACAATGCTCTTGACCTCACCTGATCCTTCCCAGGTAGTCTGGAACCTATTAGAATGTTTTCTCTGAGCAGGTATTCACCTGTTGGGGATGTTCAGGTCTTCTAAGGAACCCCCAGGGGGATCACCAATCTTGGTCCAGGGTAGTCAACCAAGTAGTTTGTATCCCATTAACACTCAGCCTCAACACCACGCTTTCCCCAGAAGGGATTCCCCACACGTTCCGGAGCTTCATTCAAATGGTCAGACTCAACCCTGAGCAACATGTCTGTCTGAGATAAGTGGGGACCTGAAATGGAGGTGGTCACGTTGCCCTTGCCCTTCTCCCTCCAGCCACGAGCATGACCATCCCCACCCCGTTCTCCAAACCCCTATGCCATCCCCCTTCCCTCTTTCACGTTAAACACTGCCGGTCCGGGTGAGACATCCAGGGAGCTGTAGCCCACCAGGGGAGTCATCAGGGCTCCCCGCGTGTCAGCAGCGGCCTCCGCCTCCGTGGCATGCGTCTGTCTGCCCAGGAGAGGGTGAGGGGCTCCTGCTGCATCCCCTGGATGTGTATCTGCAAACGGCTCACTTTCCCTCCAAGTACTCAGTAATCTCATCTGGTTGGGGGGATACTCTTCCTGCCAGGCAAAAACAGGGTGGTTGGGTTTTTTTTATGTTTTTTTATTGTAAAATAAAACATGTTGGTTGTAAAATATTTGAAAAATCTAGAAAAGTACACAGGAGAAAATAACTATTGCCCATAATCCTCCCTCTCAGACATTCAGAGATAACCATAATATTTTGATGTATTTCTTCTAACATTTTTTTCCCATGACTATATTTTCAAGGAAATGTATAACACATATTTATCAAAAATGTTAACAGAGTTGTCACACAGGAAGGAAAAGAAGTGGTGTCATTTGGCCTGGAGTTTAAACTTGGCAGTTCTTACAGCTGTTGCTGAGGTCACATCTCTATGACTCCACAAATTTGTCTCTCTTAGAGTGGAATCAGGTGTCATAATTGCCGAGTATTGCTGGATTGATTGACCCACACACAGCCCAATTTGGCCAGCAAGCCAATGAAATATCTGGCTGCAGCCCAAGAACAGGGCTGGGTAGAGCAGTGTTTTGCAGATGCCAGGAACCACCTGGAGATTGTTAAAAATGCAGATTCTGATCCTGAGGATGGGGTGTGTGGGGGGGACCTGAGATCCTGTACTTCTAACAATTGCACAGACAATGCAGACGTGGCTGGTCCCTGGCCCATATTTTGAGTGTCAAGGGGTTAGAGGACTGAGCTCACTCCCATTCCATTCACCAGCTAAGTATTGAGATCCTACAGGTGCCAAGCACTGCACAGGTGCTTGGGGTGAACGAGCGGAGAAAGGGGCGATCAGAGGAAGAATTGACATTAGACCCAACCCTGGGTGCCAACGCTGTGCCCAGCAGTTGGCCTTAGCAGCAATTTCCCAAACCCGGCCTAAGCCACCACAAGGGTCTTTGTCCTGATGCCCACGCCCACCAACTTCCTTGGGAGCAGCTTCTTGGGGAGCACACGCCCCCAAGTGCTTGTATTGGTAGAAACCCTCTCATCACCTCCCCCGCCCCCTACCCTTCCAGGTTTTAATTATTACACAAATTGTCCATTGATCGATTTTGCCTAACTCCTGAAAAGGAAGATGCTTCTAATCCCAGCTCACCCTGGATCCTTTGCCAAGCTAGAACGAGGAAGGGCTTCTAGAAGGTGGAGCTTGCCAATGGCCTTCCTCATTCCTGTCCAGGTGGAAGGCAGGGCAGAGCCACCACAGGCCTTTGTTTCTCGGAAGGCAGCTGAGGGGCCTGTCTCTCCTGCAGGGCAGTGGCGGTTGCTTAGCGCGTGCCCTGCCCCAAATGTGGAGGATAATTAATAAGACCACCACCACTCTGTATTTTCTCAACTCTGTCTTTTTACAAGAAGTTTCCACGCTCTTTTATTTTGTCCTCAAAACAGCTCCATGAAATGGACACTAATATTACCCCATTTTACAGATGAGGGCGCCGAGGCTCTGAGGGAGGAAGTGACTTGCCTAAGGTCACACAGCAGGACGTAGTAAGGCTGGGACTTATTCCCGATCCCAGGGCTGTTGAGCTACCAGGGCCCATAAGTCACTCCTGAAAGGGTGAGGAGAGAGTGATATGCCCAGCAGGCCCCAGCTCAGCCCTGCCTCCTCCTTCTGACAGGAGCCCCTCACCTGCTAGAATCTTCCACTGTAGCTCCTGGTAAAATACGCCTCTAAAGGATGCTTCATGGAAGGTCACCAGTTAGTTTTTGCAAAAGAAGTGGATGTGGGATCCCTTGAGGGGGGCATAAAAAATAAAACAGAAAGATCTCCTTAGCTTTTGGATTTTTAATCAGAGGAACATGCAGGGCTTGGGGGAAAATTATTTCTTCAGGGGGGTATAAATGGGAAGAGATGTTCAAAGTCACTGACAGCCTGTTTTAATTTATAATCTGCCTCTGTGTGAAATGCACAGAGAATCAGGGGGAAATGAGTAATAATTCACTAAGGTGCTGTCACAGCGAGGAAGCATTAGGGCTCTCTTTGTTAGCCTGCCGCTGCCAAGAAGGCTGAGATAGAGGAGGGACACAGAGCAGCGGGTCCAGTGCCTTTCCTCCTGTGCAGGACACAGCCCTGCTGCTTCTCCACAGCCTGGCCCCGGGCTGCTGGGCGCTATCGCCTTAGCCCAGAATGGTGCACTCCGGGCCCAGGGCTTTCCCTGCAGCCGGTCTCTGAGGACACTGCAGAACATAAGCTCTCTCTAACCCTCTCCCCTTTCCTCCTCCCTCTGTGGGCAGCGGGAAATAGATGGTCTATAAAGCTGGCTGTGGCCTCATCGATGGGACCTGAGGTCAGTGTGATGCAGAGAAAAGGATAATGGGGCCCTTTATGCTGAGCCAACAGATGATAGAAAGAGGCCCCAGTGGCTGGTATTGCTTGGTCAGGATAGGCAAGGTTATGCTGCAGTAATAAACCATCCGGCACTTCGGGGGCTTAATGGGACATTTACAGGCCCTCTCCACTGAGGGTTGGGGGCCTCTTCTCCACAGGATCTCTCAGGGACGCAGGCTGGCAGGGGCTCCATCATCAGATGGCAGCGTCCCCAGGAACAAGATTCTCCTTGGCCCCTGCAACAGGAGAAGGGAAAGGCTGAGAATTGCACAAGGACTGTTCTCAGCCTCAATCCAGAAGAGGCACATCCCTTCTACTCATATTTCATTGGCCAGAACTGCTCCTGTGGCTTTACCGAACTGCAAGGGGGTTGGGAAATCAAGAGGAGCAAAAAGTTAGTTCTGAACTAGTGTGTCTCTGTAGAGAGGGTGATTTGAGGAACCCAAACCAAACTCCTGGCCAACGCTGCTACTGCTACCAGTACATTCTTGCCCTTGTGTTGGCCATTCGAAATGTAGTTCAGTGAGTTATACGTTGGCTTCTCCTGGGGTCACGTTCATTGTGGAGCTGTGTAAAGAACACAATTTAGAAATAGAAGAGCTAGATTCAAGTCCCAGCTGTGTTCCCTAATGGCTGTGTGGCCTGGGTCAGGTTGCTTAACATCACTGAGCCTCTGCTTGGTCTTATCTAAAACTAGGTTAAAAATAACCCATAGCTGTGGAGTGGTTAATGTTACTTTTTTTTCTTCTGAAGATTAGAAAATTGTAAACCAGCACATGCACAGGTTAGGGATTGGAGCTTCTCTTCATTATGATCAGTATCATTAGACATCAAGGGTCTGGCTGGGGAGCTGTTAGTGAGAACAATTCGGTCACACCTGGCTAATTATACTTGACTTTGGCATATTTTGCATTTGGCCTTCCTGGAAATGACTGTGTCCCTGTGCTCTCCCTGCAGGTAAACTCCCGGCTGGTTTTTACTGCAGTTTTGAGGATGGCTTCTGTGGCTGGTCCCAAGGCACACTCTCCTCCCACAAGCCCCAGTGGCAGGTCAAGACCCTAAAGGAGGCCCGGTTCCAGGACCACCACGGTATTTCCACTCCCTTTTCTTCCCCCTTGTGCCCACCTGGCCAGATTAGAGACTTAGGACACCGCCCTAGAGCAGCTGGACATTGCCCCACACTTCAGGGCCAGCCCAAGTGGCTGTCCAGAGCTTGCCCTGGGGTGTTCCCATCTGGTTCCCACTTCAGACCTTCCTGGGCTCTAGAATTATTAAATCATCCTAGATAAGATGAAAGATAAGAATAACAGCAACAATAATAACAATCAATTTATTCAACAAGTATTTGTTGAGACCTACTGTGTGTCAAGCCCACTGAGAGGTAAGAAAAATGGTAGCCCTCTTTAGGACTGGCGAGGCTGAGGCACAGGGGGACCTGTGTCCCCAGTCCCAGAGCGATGCCCTGGGAACCATGGCCCTCCTCTACAGCCTGGCCTCCTGTTCCCTGTAGCCTGGCCTCCTCACCTCTACCCCCACGCTCTCATCCCGCTTACGCTGGCAACCCCTCCCCCCACACCACAGCCTGTCGTCCCGAGACTCACGCTTGATTGCCAGGGGGGCAAAGGGCCTCACACACCCAGAAGCTGGCCACCCACACCCGGCTGAGCAGACTCCACACTTGGAGACACTGGCTGTGATGGTAGCAGGGAGGGTCTGTGGGGCCCTCCCAGCTCAGAGAGATGGGCTGCTGGAGAGGCTCTGGCACAGCTTCGTGCCTTGCCCAGCGGGGAGGCCTGGGCAGGCCCTGGGCCCACCTCTCCACAGGACGGGCTCTGGGGAGGGCCTCTCTCTCCCTTTCCTCCTCTGCATTTGCTCACTCTGTGTGGCACTAGAGACCCTCATACAAGAATCCTTCTCTTTCCAAGACATCGCACATCCTACGATGCCTTCAAGAATTAATCATTATTATTATTATAAAAGTGTGAGAGTTGACAAAATCCAGGGCAACCACTGATCCCAGAGCCCCTACAGTCCTGTCCCTGGTCTTCAGAGCCAGCCACACTAGAGGGGGGCTGGCTTCGGCCACGGGAACCTTCTGCAGGGACCCTCACCGGAGCCAGAGGCCCGAGGGCCCCTGCTTCTGCCCCCAGCCTCCGGGGCACGCTGCACGGTGCTCAGCACCCCGTCTGCAGGACCAAAGGGAGAAATCAAGCTCAAATGAGACGTGGCCTCTGTGGCTCTGCTCTCAGTTTGATAGTCCCCATAGCAAATAGGCACCCATAGAAAATAAACGTCCAGCACTTGCTGAATACCTCTAATGCCTCCCGAAGTAATTCATCCCATTGATTGCTCTGAGCACAGACCAGTTTTCCTTATCTCAAGAAAAGCTCTGCCTTTCTGTAAATTCTACTCATTGCTTATGATTTCTGTCCCCTGGAGCCCCACAGACCCAAACTGCGGCCTTTCCCACGCAGGCAGCCCTTCACATATTGAAAGACAACCATGGTGACCCCCACACCGAATGAGGCCCTTTTCCTCCCCAGCCACATCACCCCATCAGCTTGACTCTTCGGGAAGCGGGGGCGGCATGCTTTCTAAGATTTCTGGCCCAGCCTGGTTACTCTGTTCTGGACTCACCTAGATGTGTTACTTAGTAGTAGCTCAATTACAGACTTTGCTAAGACACGGGAAAAGGAGAAATGAATGGCTGAAGCCCTGCTGAGGGTCCTCTGGAGCGCCCAAAATGTCATGGGCTCATTCTGGCACCTGCCTCCAGAGCACTGACCGCCTACAAAATGCCCTGCCATTCCTGGGTGTTGGCAGATGTTTCTTCCACCACCACATGGGGTTGGAGGTCATGTTCTCCCAGGTTTCCAGGCAGATTGGTGCTTAGGAAACACAAGAAACAAGTCTTCTGGTCAGAGCCTGTGGCACGGGAGGACCTGGGCTCCAGAAGGCAGAGAAGAGAGTGAAGGCCATAGAGACCATTGGTGGGCAAAGCACTGGCCTGACTGGAAATGGGGAGCAGTGGGGCTGGGGTGAGGGGCGTCCAGGGTGCTCCAGGCGGCTCCTGGCTTAGGGGCTAAAGCCGGCCCCTTGAGACATCAGGGATGCAGTAGCTCAGACATAGGACACGAGGACATCACAGGCCCTTTAGAATGAAGACCTTGGCATAGCCAAGTGTTGCTGACTGTGACAAGTGGCCCGTCTTACCCGTTGGAGACAGCAGAAAGCCGGACCGCAGCGATGCTCGAAGGCTAGGGAAGACTTTCCCATTAACCCTGCGCCTATTAATCCTGCACCTCCGGGACCCTTCACTATACAATGACAGTGCCTTTTTGGCTCTTTTCCTCTCTGCCCTAGACCACGCCCTATTGCTCAACACCACTGAAGTCCCCACTTCGGAAAGTGCCGCAGTGACCAGCACTACATTTCCCGCACCGATGAAGAACTCCCCATGCGAGGTAAGTCTCAGTGTCCCTCCAGCTCTCCGACCGCCCCTCCACCCTCACCTCTGCACTTCCAGACAGGCAAAGCAGCTTGCTTTGTCCGCCTGGTGGGAGGACCGTAGGGCCATTTTGCCCTCGTCTAGACAAAGAGCACCCACCACCACGGTAAAGTCCCATCTGCAGAGAATCTTACCTTAAACACCGCCACTCAGCCACACGGAGCTTTTGCGGCCAGACCTTGAAGCAGATTCAGAAAGCACAGTACTTCTTCAGGCATTATCGGTGCGGGGGAGGGCGGGAGGGCAGGGTAACAGTGATGTGCAAAACGCTTTCTACAGAATCTTTCTTAAAAATAACAGTCTTGTTATACATTTCAAATTTTATAGAGCATCAAAAATTTGACTTACATAGATTTCACTAAGCCATCACTGGCATTCAGTGAGGTACCTCCAGAGTCACCTACCCGAACGGTTCCTGTGGCTGTTAGCTCTTTAGGGTGAGGATAGAGGGGGTGCTGCCATGTTTCTGAGCATAAGGCCATGTTCTGTGGGGACCAAGAAATGTGCTTAGACTCAACACAGCTCAGTGATTAAGCTCATGGAGTCTGGAATCCACTGAGTCCAAGCCAGGTTCCACCCCGACTGGCTGTCCAAATCGTTTGAGCAGTTAATAACCTCTCAGGGCCTCAGTTTCCTCATCTGGAAAGTGGAGACAGTAAGAGTGCCTACCCCAAGGAGGTGAGAATTAAATAGGTTAATGTGTGTAACGGGCTTATCACAGCACCTGGCACAAATTAAGCACCACAAGAGTTAGCCAACAGTGCCTGGCACCTGGTATAAACACATGGAAGGAGAACGGGGGAAGAGAAAAAGAACTTGAGCCAAAAATCAGACTCTCCCCTCCAGGAGCCGGGCTACACCTGTGCTTCTTTGCCTCCTTCCGCCGGCCCCTTCCCCCACAGTACCACATCAACCCCTTGCACATGGTAGAAAGCCAATACCTAGTGTCGACTTGGCCAGCCCTCTCTTTCTGGAAACTTAGAGGACAAATTCCTTGCTGGCTTGTTTTAAGAATAGCCATATGGCCTCTGAGCCATCAAGTTGTGGACACTGTGAAACTGACGAGACCCGCTTCTCCTCGGCCGGCCGGTAGGAATCCCAGGCTGCTCCGGCCCGCACGACAGCTTCCCTGGCAGGCCTCCCAGGCTTCCTGTAAAATAAAAGTGTACACACATAAAATGAATGACAATATAAAAGATGTTATCAATGAAATTTTTTAATTGGAAGAATGGTCCGATTAAATGTAGGCTCAACATCTGCCCTGTCTTTCTAGTAGTTCTTCTAGTTCAGGCTGTCTGCTTGGAGTTTATGTATCTCTGTGAGCCACCTTAAACCCTTTGTGGAAGAAGTCAGGGCACAAAGAAATAGGCTCATTACATTCGATTGTATTTGAGAAACCACACTTTCTGATGCATATGGTAGAATTACAGTCATTGCTGATATTTCTCAGGTGCCTCGGAGCAGGCTCCTGGAAAGGAAGGCTTTTTAAGAGGAAATTCAAATGAGGAGAGTTGGTGCGCCCACCTGGGAGGTGAGGGGGATCCTTAAAAGCATTTGGTCTTTAAATGTACTCTTCACTGGATTTAATAGAGCCTGGTTTTAGAAAAAGAAATGTCAAGGTAAAAATGATATTGTATTTCTCTCACTTTGTCATTTTCTCTAATAACATTTGAGTTGATCAATAGCTTAAATAGGTGTTTTGTTTTACTGGCCTGCTTTATTTTTCCTCCAGCCACATTTGCTCTGGGCTGGTTCTGCTATTTCCTGCCCTTTTCCAGAACTTCGCTCAGCAGGAGTAATGAAGGGGAAGCAGTGAGTCCGTTCCGCTCGCAGCTCACAGTTGTTTCGCAGTCAGGTTTCCCGGCCATTCATCCAGTGCTGATGGGTCTCTGAATTCAGAGTGTTGGGGGAAGCGTTTTCATCAGAAAAATAAATAACCAAAATAGAAATATGCATTTCCAGCATTGTACGCCTTGACATTTATTTTCTCCAAATCCTAAATGCAGAAGGCAGGAAGTTGATTTCCTCCTCCTGGGTTGGCTGAATGTCAGTGACAGGGAAACGGATGTTGCATTGCTATGTGAAGCTGTATGAGGTGAACTTGGGGCCTGCAAACCCCACCGGCCGGGGCCCCAGTGCAGGGAAGTGGATGCTAGCCAGAGCCACGGCAGCCTCCGGCGAGGGCCAGGTCCTCAGGGACCGGCAGCTAGCCCAGCTGCGCTCAGGGCTGACACCATCACCGGGCTTCTTCTCCAAACCTAGACCTGACTGGTCCACAGGACCCCCAGGGAGCTGAAGTGATTACAGAATGTCACAAAATGTTTTCTCAAGAAACCCCACAGCCATGCCTTGATTTCACAGGAGAACTGGCTTCACCTTCAATGCATTTGCATGAAAATCTAGATACAAGATACCTAGTAGGTATACGTTTCCCCAGTTGCATTCACTTGTAAAATGTAATAAATGCTGACTCCTGGGCCCCACCCGGACCTCCTGAACAGCATCACTGAGCAGCGGAGCCCAGAGTCTGCATTCCCAAACCCGACCCTCAGGGATTTGGTTGGGCACTGAAACTTGAGAATCATTGGCCATGATGTTCTTGGCAATTGTGACCAAAATTTATTCTGAGCCCATGCTGAGAGTTCCCTCGAGTACCTGTGGCCCCAAATGGTGCTGTGTAGCTAACCTTTTAGAAGGATGAGTCAGAGGAAGAATTAGAAATGACAAGGTAGGGGACAGAGGTGGTGGAGACAGAAGGGGCTGGGAGAGTGCCCGTCAGAGCCCACAGGGAGCCAGGTCAGGTGTCCACCGAAGGCGGAGACATCGCCAGGGTGTCGGCCAGCTTCCAGGGCGTTCCAGAAGCATGCCGGCTCTGGCCTCTCCCTCCACACGCGTGCAGCCACCACAGCCGGCCACCTCTCGCCCGGATGGCCATGGCGCAGGCCCGGCCACCTCCATTGCGCTGCGTGGTCACATATGGGGCATGAATATTTAAAGACCTCCTCCTAGCCCTGCCACAAACAAGAGCGCTTTGTGGGTTTCTGGCCGCCCACCCCATGCCTCACCATCTATTCTCCGTGGGAAACTGGGGAGTTAGTTATACTATATTCAGATTTTATTTTATTTTTTATTTTTATTTAGCTGAGCTCTGGTTCAAATAATTAAAGTTGCCACCAGGGAGGGGAGTCTTGCAGTGGCTTTTATGCGTCTCTTGCTGTCAGACCCGCTCGCTCACTTCGCCTTGGCTGGGAGACACTCTCGGATGAGTCTAGCGTTGCAGCTGCTGGTAATAAAGAGGACGGGAGAGTGGCAGGGCCTGTCTCTGCCCCGCCCCCTGCCTTTCACACATCCTAGAAGCCTGAATGTCTCAACAGGCCCCGTGTGGTTTGAGATTCTATTTTATTTGAATAGCCTCCCTGTGACTGGAATATTTTAAACCACGTTCTCAGAACAGAACAAGGCCTGGGGGGAAAAGCTGGGCTTCCCTCATTCTCTTTCCCCCTCCAAAACATGGAAGCAATTTTCCTTCTGTGAGCTGCAGGAATGAAAGGGACCCAGGAAGTGTAGGATGAGACCCACTCAACTGGTGACGGGACCTTAGGGCAGGTCAGCTCCCAGCTGCTGGTTATAAGGCCTTACCAGAGCGGCAGCCACCTGTGTCCTCTCCTTACACACAGGAGCATACACATACACACACATACACGCTGGGATCCTGGAACACGGCTGGGCCTTTCTGCCCAACACCAGCTTAGATTAGCGGCTCAGGGCAGAAGGTGGCCAGCAGGCTCTTCCATGGCAGCATGGACTCCCTGGCCTGCCAGGAAGGAAGCCTCCACTCGGAGTCATTAAAACCAGCAAATGTGGCCCAGTGAGATGTGAGAGAGGAGGTTGGCATCTGGACTTGCCCTCTGCCATTTGGTAAGCCCCTCTCAGAGCCCCACTGAGAAGGAGCCCCCATGGGAGGCAGCCTGCCTGTGGCAATCCTGCACAGCTGGCCAGCAGTGCGGCCCAGCGTCCCTAAGGCACAATAGCATCTCCCCTTTCCCCGGGAGACCTCCTCTGAATGGGACAGCAGCAGTAAATGAGGAGACCTCAGAGAAAGGGGAGGAAGACTAGACCGAAGTCACGAAGGCAGGGAGGGGTCTGGGGAATGACCCGGAGCTAAACATCAGGCGCCCCCAGTTTCAAAAGCCCAGAGGAAGAGCTCTGCACCAGCTGCCTTCCTCTGAAGCTCCCTGCCTTGTGTGACCTCCCCCCGCCCCCCCCAGCTACCTTTAAGCCCATCGATAGTGTGTTTGGCTGCTGCCCACCCCCAGCTTCATGTGTCCCCCTGACTTGGTGCTGGGTATGAAAGTCCAGGGGGCCTCAGCTCACCCCCTCAGCGACGGAGACAGTTATCTCAGAGAGCCTTGGGCTGGGCCTGAGAACGTGCCTCTTTGCATCAGAGGGGAAGGGGACAGAGGCCAGAAGTGGTTCTGGAGGCATTTTCTATCTCAGTGGCTTTTACAAAGCCCCACTGGTAAGAGATTTGGGGCCTCACTTTCAGAATCCAATAACAACCATCTCACACACTGTAATAGCATTGCTGCTATAAGAATGCCCTATATACATCCATCAAAGATTATAGAGACTGCCCGACTCCCCACAGTCACCCTGGGAGGTGACTGAAATCTTCCCCAATCTACAGAGGAAGAACAAGCCTCAGAGGCCCAGAAGGTGCCCCAAGGTCACAAGCTCAGACACGCAGAAACCAGGACTCAAATTCAAGTCCCCTGACCTCAAAGGTAGCGACTCAGTGGCTTTCTATGGGGAGTCAGGGAGCAGCACCCTCAGGACAAGAAGGGCGGGAAACCACACAGCCTGGACCAGAGAGGCAGCGGGGAGGAAGGCTGGCTGGGAGGGGCACACTGTCGCCTGGCAGGAGGGCGAGGTAGGGAAGGGCACGGAGGCTCCCCA